TGGTGGGGGGTGGGCCCGTGCAAACAAGTTGCCAGGGGAACCACAGGGCCCTAGGAGGGAACCTGAAAGGAAGAGTCTAGAATGGCAGACCAAGGCTGGACAAAAGAACCAGGGAATTCTTTTGGTTTTTGGAAAAGGGAAATCATGGCCCAAGAGGCACAGTGCTGCCTGGGCCCCCTGCCACTTCGGCAGTGTGGCGTGTGCAGCCCCTGAGGAGGAGGCGTGAAAGCACGCGCCTCCAAAGAGCCGGAAGGACAGCGCGGGACCTCTGCAGGGCCCTGGTGAGCTCACCACTCCCTTGTCTGAAACAGCGTGGATGGACCTCTGTGCCTCGGCCATCCCCCAAGACTGCTTCCCCATGATGGGAAAAACTACTTTGTACTCATGCAAAATTGAAGGCCACTTGGCAATCCCAAGCATCCTGAACTGGAGATACAGTTTTCAACCATGGTCAGGTATTAGTAATTATTTGAAAAAAAAGTTGTAACTAAAAAAAGAGTCTGAAACTTCACACGCAGAAGACTCTTGCTTCTCACTCCACAGGCTTGTAATTTGGTCCCAAACCAAGGTGTTATGGGGCCACACGTCCTCTGGAGTCTGAAGAGAAGGAGCCTTTCCTGCTGCTTGCAGCGTCGGGGGGGCCCAGGTGCTCCTTGGCCCGCACAGTGTCATTCCAGTCTCCGCCTCCCTTTTCACAGGACCTTCTTCCCTGTTTCCCTGTTCTGAGCGTCCCATGTCTTCCGCTTTCATTCATGAGGACACCAGTCATTGGATTTAGGGTCTGCAGTAAATCTAGGATGATCTCGTGTCAAGATCCCTAATTACGTCTACAAAGACCCTATTTTCAAATCAAGTCACATTCACTGGTACTGTGGGTTCAGAGTTGGAAATACCTTTTGGGAGCTACTGTTCAGTTCATTGCAGGGGCTAAGATAGATTGATATGTTACAACAGGTTAGGAGTTCTAGCAAAACTATCTTCATTTTATTATTTGAGCTGACTATATAGAATGCATAGTCAGAAAAAAAAACATAAGGAACTTCTCAGACTGCTTTACGGCTCTGTGGGATGTAGCAGATTTAGAAGAACTCCAGGCTGGTGGAAGGAGATGAAATGAGCCCAAAGCAGAATCTGTTCACATTAATAAAGAAACACAAGTGAATGTAAAGACAGGAGAACAAAATAGCCAGAAGGAAAACTTCAAGATTCACATGGGAAAGAAGGGGGGTAGGGAAGGAAACAAGTATTAACGATCATGATGAAGTAAGGAATAAAGTCTTGAGGATATAAAATGAAAAATGAGGGATGTTACAGTCAAGAGAGTATCAGACCAAGGCCATGCCTGTAACATAAAAGTTTACAGGCTTGAGTGTTAGGACCTTAAAAAGGATCTTTAAGTTGCTTCAGGAAATATTTCTTCTTCTTCCAGTTGTGTCTGATGGACTCTCTGATGTGACAACTACTGCCTAGATCAAACACACTTCCACCAGTTATTGGCCAACTGACCTTGAACCTCTGACTGCTTGGGCATGCACATGGCTAAAATAGTTCCCAAGATATTATTTTCTGGCATAGTTCATATCCTTTGGAAAATCTAGTAGGCTTATCTCACTTATTTAAGTAGGCCACACAAGTCATAGATTAGTGGTCATTAAATCAGGTGCTAACTTAATGGGTTGACTACTGATCCCGCATCCATTCACTGCAGGTCAGGGGAAGTCAGAATGGAGGGGTCTCATGGTATGTGGGTCTGTTCCTTCCAGGGTCACGGCTGGAATAGGCACACAGTTGTACATATGTTAATCAGATTTGCAAAGGGGTGCCATGAAGCAGTGTTCACGCTACAGAGTAGGTAGGGGCAGTTGAAGAAGTGAGCATAGAAGAATTGACTCTTAAAGTCTGTGCAGGGCTCAGCAATGGGAAAGCACGGCAGGCAGCTGAGGGGTGAGAGCAGGGCAACCAAGAATTCTGAATGGAGGGTTACATACAGACCCCGCCAGGGGCCCCACGTAAGCCACATCTAAGACAACTGGACCTGGGATGATCACTCCAGCAATTGTATCAAAATCTTGTGCTCTTCTCAGATACAACACCAATCAGAAATAAGAAAAAGACTTGAATTTAATCATCTTGTTTAAGGCATAGAGGAATGTCTTCCCATCTCAGTTCTTTAACTGGAAAGCTGGCACCATGAAAGGAGTTAACAAGTATGCCAGCACTTTAATTTATTAATTGGTATGTTCCACTTTAATTAAAATCATCCTAACTGATCACTCATTTCACTGTGTGCAACCCCAGCTGAATAAGCTGCTCTCTCTTTAATTTATTAAGTTTATATTGCTTTTCCTTCCACCGGTGGTAATTCAAGAGAAGCATAAACTTAACCTTCTGTTCTTGCCTCTGTGCCTATGAAACGAGCCTCACCTTGGAGTAAGTGGGTATGGCAGAAAGAGCGCGGGCTTTCACACTCATACGGGTGGTTCGGACGTTGGCTCTGCCATTTATGAACCATGTGACCACGGGCAAATCTGATCCTCAAATTTTCCCACCTACAAATGGTGATAATAATAGTACTTTCTGCAGAGATTTGTTGAGGATTAAATAAAATAAAGCAAAGAAGCAGGTATGCAATAGTCCCCATTATCCTGACAACCATCCTACTTACCAGGGGTAGCATCTCCTTGTCCATCAAGGCTCAGCGTAGCCACCACCTCCTCTGGGGTGTGTTCCCTGAGTCCCGAATCTGAGGTGTCCCTCCTCTCTTTCACTGTTTGTTTATCCTGTTATATGACTGTATCTGACTCTTCCATTTACTTACATGCCCAACGGGGGTGCCCAACAAATGGGCAATTGCAGTTATTTAAGATTGAATAAGTGTTCTTCATTTAATGTACAGACAGTATATTTTCAAATGACTCCCATGTTAGTAGGACATAAACACTTATTAAATTGTTTGGATATAACATAAAAAAATTAGGCTTTTCTTTTGGCTTAGATGTGCTGTGAAAAACATTACTGAGACGCCAAGGGTGCTCACCTTGAACCAAGAGAGTTCAGGAACCTCTGTATGTGGAAATGATGGCATTCTGAGTGGGGGAAATGCCAGTGCTCATTATTATTGTTACAACGAATGTCACAGTTATAACAATGCTGTAAATACTGGCTAACAGGTAACTGAGCCCTTACTATTTCCCAGGCACTGTCATGAGCATTTGGGTGTGCTTAAAGGGGTCACACGTATTAGCTCCTTTACTCCCCCAACACCCCTAAAACAAAAGTTTGTTTCCCTGCAGAGTAGGAAACTGAGGCCTGTAGAATGGGCGGACACTGGAGCTGGGATTCAAATCTAGGCATTCTGACTCCAGAATGAGGGCTGTTAACCACCTGCTGACCAAGGCTTCGGGGATGCAAAGGAGACAGGGCTGAGCTTTCTGGATGGCAGAATCTACGCAACTTACAGATTTTAGGGACTGGAGAGCATCGGTGTTCAGGGACATCCATCAGACTGACTTCCCAAACGCTGATGCACAGCCTGCTGGCTCAGGTGACTCAGGGAGATGTGTGCATTTGTGGTCCTGACCGTGACCCTTCCTTATTGGACACTGGCCAAATGAAGCTTTATCCAAGGAACTGGGGACTGAGTCACCGAGCTTCTGTCACTGGTCTATGTCCGCATCCATCGGCCCACACAGGTGGTTATTATCACAATGTGACAGAGCGCAAGAGTGAACGAGGTTCCCAACCTTGTGCTACTGAGGGCACTCCCCATCGCCACGCTTCCTGGGTCTGATTTGTTCAGTGATTTTTACAGATTCCCTGAGATCAGTACTCTGCCAGTAACTTTTTCTTTTATTTGAGCCAGATTTGCTACACTTCCTTGCCTTTTAACCAAAGAATGTTTAACTAGAATGTTGGGCAGAGATACTGTAAAATACACAGCTAAAAAGGGCGGGTGAGGGGACAATGCCTCTACTGCTAAATATTTAGCTTCTTAAACTGAGCGGTTATGAGTGCCATCCTGATCTCAGGCTTCAGCCTGGCCAGCTCCTCGGAACCCGGGCAGCTTTGTGGAGTCCACGTACAGCGTTCCGAAAGGCGACTCTGCACTGCCTGGGAGGTCAACAGTCTGCCCGGCAATTACCCTGCTGTCCAACTGTAAACACACATTTGCAAATGCTTCTGTAACTGCTCAGAAATAATTTAGGCCTGTTCATGCGGGCCTCGTTACCAAATGCTAATGGGGAACCTTACCCAACATCTGCTTTCATGGCTGGAGCCAGATTTGTGCTGTTTCAAGAGTGGCGGGCATAAAACAGCAGAATGGATATTTTCCTCTGCCAGCTCTCAGAAAGCAGAAACTCAGCAGCAGTGGACAGTTGTACAGCTGGTTGTGGGGTTTAGTGTGGGCATCACGTTTTTGGCTATCACGTCTTACTAAAACATGGTTTGGCTTTCTAAAAATGTAGTGCATCAGCAAGATGAGCAGTTGCCATCACACAATTAAGGTTATGTTGTTTTACCCACCTGCTTCCCTGTCCTCATGCAGGCTGGTTCATACCATAATTCAACTAAGAAATTCCCGTTAAATGTAATGCATGATATATGGAGATGGCCATGTCAGAAGTGGCAGATCTCAATGCAATTCAGAACGTTTGTCTTTTGACTTCTGATGTGGGGCTTATGCTTGAAATTGGTGTTTTCCTGCTCTCATCATCTCGAGGTAGATACTTTTCCCCGATTGGTAGGCATACAGGCCACCTGTACTCCTTCATTTCAGCTGCTCTGGATGGTGACTGCTGAACCCCACCAACATCCCAGGACATCCTGTGCCTGCCACAGAACCTGTATGTTAAATGTCGCAGCTCACCCCAAACTCTGACTGCTGGCAAACACCTCAAGTTTGGGTGATTATCCATCTGGCCATTTTCAAGTGTTATGGTATATTACTTAGGGCTATAGCTCTGCTCAGGCAAAGTGACTCTGAACTACAGTGGCAGAAAGATAACAGAATTTTATTGTCCTCCTGTGTAGTCATCCCAACTCTCAAGTGAACAGCCCAGGGTGGTAGGCTGCTTTGCTCCAGAGTCATTGAGAGATCCAAGCTCTTACCATCTTTTGGTCTTGCCATTCCCCCAGGAGTTCTCTTCATCTGTGTGGTCAAGGCGAGGGTACAGATAAATCCATGTTGCAGCTCATGGAATGGGGAAAAACGTCCAGGGAAACTGGCTTGTTGCTTACATTGGTGATGACCTGCAAAGTGAACTGTCATTCATATCCCATTGGTCTAAACTTAAGTTCCAGGGTCACATTTAACTACAAGGGATCCTGGGTAATGCTGTTTCTACCTGGGAGCTTTGGACTTAACCTCAACTCTCCTACCATGGGAGAAAGGGACAATAGATTTTGATGGCTGGCCAGCAGTTTCTGTCACATGTAACATCGGACAGAAAGAGATATAATTACCTCTTACAAATAAGATAAATGCCAATATGGTCATATATTCAACAAATATTTATTAAGTGCCTACTATGTGCCAGATATATTTTCTTACATGTGTAAGAAAAAATGGTGCTAATATATTGTGAGTGAAATTATGCAATACTACAAACACATTTTCCACTTTTGAAAGACTTTTGCTCTTTCAGAAAACAGGGAAACTGAAAACAAGGCAAGGTTTTTTATCTTCATATTGCAGGAAAAATACTCACACCTGTCGAACTCCACCAGCTGGCGTTACGGTTGTTCTGCGGACAAGCACACCCAAAAGCTGCTTGGATGTTGGTCTCATAAATCATAATTTGCTTGCTGCATGGTTATGAAAGTGCAGGAAGGATTTTTCAGAGGATGATATTAGATCGTTGAGATTAAATTCCATCTCAAAGGTCGGGTGTTTTTCCAAAATAATTAAGGCAACGAAGAGAGCATATTTTGCAGTTAATCCCTTGATATAGTAAGTCACACCGTCTTTGGGGTTTGTGTACTCAAAGCAATGAAAAACCATGCGATGACCACACCGTGTCAGGTGTTTCTGGTGGTAGGCACGTGGACGCAGGAAATACTCCAGGGGCACCAGGAACACATTCTTAACCTCATCGGGGTTAGGCTGCGCCTGGAAGTCCGGGTCTATAAACCCGACAACTGGTGTTATCAGTGTGTTTGTCTAAAAGCAGAAAACAAAATATACAAATTAACAAGTAAAGGGATATTATTTCAAGTGCTAAAGTCATGCCAATTCCCCGTGAACTAAGAAAACAGGCTGGAGCAGTCAGCACGTGAGGTGGGTCGGAAGGACTTGCTGCAGGTGTAAACTTCACGTCCCCCGTGAGAAGCGGGTAGCCTCTGTCCTCCCTCAGGCAGCATCTGCGAGATAACTCTGAAAGTACTTTGTGAACATCAGTAGGTACAATCTTTTGGAACAGCAATTTGGCATTATAAAACTATGGTCCCTCTGACTTAGCAATTGAATTTGTGTAAGTACATCTGTATGATAAATTCCTACCAGAGAGAAAAGATACAAGTACATCAGGTCCTATGATCACAGTGTTTCAATATGCCATTGATGCAATGCTGTGGGAACTTAACTTTGTTTGTATCAACTAGCCTATGGTAAAATTGGTTTCATTGGATGCTGGCTCGCTTGAAGTTGCAGAACCCATCAACAATGTTCAGTGAGGACTTGGCTGCACAAGACTGAAACATTATTTGCGGTAGCCAAAAACTCTAAAGTTACCACTTCTCAGATGATGGACATTTAGGGTAGGCCAATTATGAGTATAGCCACATAATGGGATTCTATGCAGCCCTTAAAAAATGCAGAAGATAACTTTCCTATCAGTACAGACACAGATGTGCCATCTTATTGATAAAGTGACATCACATTAATTGTGACATACTCCCATTTATGGGAAATTATAATCATCTGTGAACTATTTTACCCGTATGTTTATATGTGGGAGGATTTCTATTTACAATCACGACCTCTTGCAAATAAATGTAGGGCACTACTAAGTGAAAGATTCTACTAGAAATTTTGAGGGGGACACCTGGGGTCAGTGTAAAAACAACTACAGGGTTCCACAGCACCCAGTTTGAGAACCACCCATGGAGCTCCCCTTTTATTTCCGGATGGTGCAAGAATGGCCTGGACATTCTTGCCAAGGGCTTTCCCAAGGCTGCTCGGCTTGTAGGAGGCAAAGCACACAAGAACCAGACTCTCGGGGGCATGTCTGGCCATCCTGAAGACAGGGGATGCTCTGGGACCTCAGGAGTCTTCGCAGCCCGTGGCCGTCCCAACCCTTACATCAAACACGTGCGGCACCAGGCAGCAGACGACCTCCACCTGCTGAGGGTGCAGCCCCACTTCCTCCTGGGCTTCCCGGAGGGCCGTGGCCACGTCATCCACATCGGTAGGGTCGCGCTTTCCTCCAGGAAAGCACACCTCTCCAGGTGACCGTCTGAGCTGGACAGGGAAAGAACAGAGCTGCGCTGTGTGGCTCCAGTTTCGGAATCATCCATTCATTCAACAAGTACTCCCTGAACTTCTATTTTGGGCTAGAGACCATTCTTACAATATTGGGAATAAATGGAGCAAAGGAAAAAATGTTTTTACTTGAATCCTTTTTTAAAAAAGTGAACTTAAGGGAACTTCTCTCACTGTTAACTATTCCCTAATGGCCCCCCAAAGACACGCCCTACCCCCACAGATTTACATTGACGGGGCACAGCTGAAAGAAAGGGCACCAGAAAGGGCACTGTTACCAATGGATAACTTCACTGAGTGCTGACCCTGTTCTGGACATGTTGCTTCACAAGAACTTTTTTCAGAGTCATCAGAATAGTTTTACAAGCTGCTTTTTTTTAAAAGATTTTATTTATTTACTTTAGAGAAAGGGGAAGGGAGGAAGGAAGAGAGGGAGAGAAAGATCAATGTGCAAGAGACACATCAATTGTTTGCCTCTCTCGAACCCTCAATTGGGGAACCTGGCCAGCAACCCAGCATGTGCCCTGACTGGGACTCGAACCTGTGACCTTTTGGTTTACAGGCCAGTACTCAATCCACTGAGCCACACCAGCCAGAGCTAAAGTGTTTTTTTTTTAATTGAGGTGAAATCTGTAACATAAAATTAAAGTGAACGTATCAGTGACATTTAATACATTCATAACATCACACAATACTACCACTATCTGGTTCCAGAACATCATCTCCCCAGACGGAGACTCTACCCACTGGACAGCTGTCCCTGTTCGCCTCATCCCCCTGCCCTCACTTTCTGTCTATGGATTCACCTATCCGGGATATCCCCTGTAAAGGGAATCATATGACACGGGACCTTTGGCGTCTGCTTCTCTCGCCTAGCTGCACGTTTCTGAAGTTCCTCCACATTGCAGCACATGTCAGTACTTCTTTCCGTTTTGTGGCTGAGTCGTTTTCCACTCTATGTCCGTACCACAGTTATCTATCTTTCCATTAATGGACATACAGGATACTGTAATACTGTTCTTTCCACTTGCATATAAGGGAACTAAGCCTCAAAGAGCCTCAATAGCCTGAGCAGACTCACATAAGGTGTGAGTAGTGGAGCTGGAATGTAAACCAGCATTTTCACTCCAGAACATACCACACATTTATTCCAACCTCCCACAGAAAACTCGGTCCCCCGTGCTATCAGCGCTGACCTGTGTCAATGCCGCCACACCTCTGTGCACACAGGTGAAGGAACAGGAGGCTCTTCCCCTGCATCGCCCCCACCACGTATATCCTTGATTCATCCTAAATACCCTCACTCCCTTTTTTTATCTCTGTCCTTAAAATGATTTCTCTCCTATCTTGGGCACGGGTAAGGAACAAACCTCCATGCTTCTCTCCTCTGCAGGACCAAACTTCTTAGCAAATGTGACCTCTGTTTCTCTCACACTCTCTCCCACCTGTGCCCACCATCCTTTCTCTGCTGAACTGTTGCTCGACCTCAGGGTCAGCCTCCTGGCCCGGCCTCTTCTCCACCCTGTGCAGTGAGTGTAATGGCGGCACCCACCACCCAGGATCGTGGAGTCGGTCACAGGAGCTGACGGCTGAAGCACATGGCACAGCGCCTGGCCCATGTGAAATATTTATTCATAAGAACGCGTAAGGAGAATTCTTGATGTTTGGAAGCTAAATCAAGAGGTCATGTAGGCATTTTTTAGCACCAGGCCCAATATATCCTTGTAAAAATAAACTAGATGCTGTTATAAATATTGTCACGTTCTACCATTTAAAGTCCCACTTAGGCAAACTTTTTAAAAAACGAAAGAAATCATTTTAAAGTTCCTCTCTGCTAATAAATCAGTAACAAAAAAAGCAAGTTAAAAAAGATCAGCAGCAACACAGGAACTGCTGCAATACGCAGAAACCTCACACGTTTTCACATCAATTTTAGTTATAAGCGTAGGTGAAAACTAGGTTGATGGACATGTTGCTACTGCCTTGACCACTCACCACCCAGATGCATAAGAAACAGACCTCAGGCTGCATCAGCGCTGAAAATCAACTCCATGGTGTCAGCACAGAGCCGCAAGGCATCAGTGCCAGAGGCACCTGCGGGGCACATCAGGCTTGACAGACATACACACCTGATTTAATGACTGTTTTAAATGCTTGCAAGAAAACGTTATACAGCCCTGGTGGTATGGCTCAGTGGACCGAGTGCGGGCCTGTGAACCAAAGGGTTGCTGGTTCAATTCCCAGTCAGGGCACATGCCTGGGTTGTGGGCCAGGTCCCCAACAGGGGGTGTGCGAGAGGCAACCACACATTGATGTTTTTCTCCCTCCCTTCCCCTCTCTCTAAATAAATAAATAAATATAAATCTTTTAAAAAATAGAAAATGTCATGCAGTTTTAAAGAAAATATTCAAAAGAATGATTATTCACAAACTGTCAGCACCAAAAAGGGCCCTTATCTAACTACATAAGTTTCCAATCATTTTTTTGTAAATAGCATACCATTTTTATTAAATAAAACCTTATGGAATGCTACTCACAGCCAAATAAGGTTGCAACCGAATTTCCTAAGACTTTCATCTATTTTTTTTCTTGACTTTCTGCTTGCTTATTTCAAGCCCTAGAGAGCTGGAAGCAGAGAGCGGAGAGAGGGGAGGGGAGGGAGAGCTGGGGTTGGGGGAGAGTGGAGAAGGAAGAGGGGCAGGGAAAGGAGGACACTGAGGCTCAGGGATGAAGAACTTTGCTCCGGGTTCCAGAGCCCGCAGGGGAGGCCCCACTTAGACAGGAGTAGCTGTTGACATGAGGACAAACATCTGTGGACCCAGCCTGTGGGACTCCAGGGAGAGGCCAAGCTCAGGTAATGCCTGGGGGAATTTCTTGACCCCCCAAAGCCAGATATGCTTCGAGTCCAATTTAATTGAATTTAAATACTTTTTTTAAAATGTGACTTTTGCATATCAGAGTTTATAGTCTAAGGTAATTCTCACTTAATAATCAATAGGCAAAGATACTTGAAACAGAGACCAGAGGCCCATTTTGGTCTAGATTTTCTCCATTACTATTTTTATAATTTAAAAAATATGTTGCAGTGCTTCTGTGCTTTTTGGCAGAGCTGAGAACAAACCCCCACTCCCCAGTTCCAAGTATCTCCCTTGGAGACTGGACTGCCAGCATCTGACCCAGACAGGAGAATGCACACAAATCTAATCCCAAATCCTCAAAACTCCCGCTGAGTTCCCAGCTTGCTTTCTTCCCCTACAGCCATACCTTTTGTTGTCCTGCTTAGAAAGACACTGTATTAGGGCCCATTTTCTCTTTTGTACTTGGATAACTTTGAAATTCCTGCTTACCAATTTTTCCTCGGAAGTCCCCCTAACAGCAAGGGACAGTGACCGCAGCCGGTGTGAACCCAGGGGAACTGCGTGCCCAGCCCAACATTTCTTTAAAGTTGAGCGGTACATCTGAAAACCTCAGGCCACGTCTGCTAACGGCCCTCGTGATGACAGCTGACACTTCCTGAGTCCCTGCCCAGGGCCAGGGCTGTTGCAGGCACTTTGCCTTCGTTACCCTGTGAAACCCTTGAAGCAGCCCTATTGAACGGGTGTTCGCCTTTTGTCCTCATTTTGCAAATGGAGTGATCACAGCACAGAGAGGGCAACTAAATGACACAGAGTCATACAGTTGGCAAGGAGAGAGCCTGCATTCCAACATGGGCAGCCGGCTCCCAGGCCCAGACTGCTCATTTCTGTGCTTCACAACTTTCACATTATACCTGCGGTGGGACTGGTGTAAAATAGTGGCAAAATTGCCCCCCATTCCTACCAGGACAGTAGTCAGTCTCTGGAGACATTTGTGGCTGTCACAAAGTGGTGTGTGTGTGTGTTACTGGCACCTAGTGGGGAAGGGCCAGGGATGATACGAAACATAAACCCCATAATGCACAGGGCAGTGCCCACAACAAGGTATTATTCAGCACAAATGCCAATGGCATCAAGGTTAAGAAACCCTGGTCTAAATGTATTTCAAATTATTTATTTTTCTTTCCAAAGCTTCAAAAAATTCCATGTTATCCTGTGGGCCCCTCAAACATCACAATTTTGAAAGTCCATTTGGGAATCTCTTGCCTCAAAATGTGTGCAAGTGATAAAATTTCATGGAGTTTTCAAATGTCCTGAGACATTAATGGCAGAACCTTTCAGTTACCTACCTTTTCTGAGCGGAGGGTGAACAACAGGTGAAGTTCTCCTTCTTTAACCAACAATGGTAAGAGGATGGAATATTTACTATACGACAAGTGAGAATACTTGGTCCCAGGATCATGCTTTTTTAAGCGGGCCTTAGCGTCCTCTATTGAGTTGTCTCTAAGAGGGAAACAAAGCAAACATTATAGTCCCAGGGTGACGGTAAAAATTTCCTTGTCCGGCCTGTTTCTGCTTCATTGTGTACCTTGACGTTTACCATTTCTGAGTCTCGGTGTACTTTTCAGTAATACGGCAGAAATAATACCCAAATCACATAACTTTTGGTAAGATAAAAAACCTACAGTAGTCCACCTTAGCTTCCGTTTTACTTTCTGTGGCTTCAATTATCTGTAGTACATCTCAGTCCAAAAATATTAAGTGAAAAATTCCAGAAATAAACAATTCACAAGTTAAAAATTCTGCACTGCTCTGAGCAGCGTGATGAAATCTTGCAGTGTCCAACGCCGTCCCAGCTGGGCTGCGAGTCATCCCTTCATCCACGTCATCCAGGCTGTGTTACTGCTACCTGCCCATCAGTCACTAAGTGGCCTTCTTGGTGACCTGATGGACAGTACTACAGTGCTTGTGTTCAGGAGCCCTTATTTTATGCGATGATGGCCCCAAAGCACAAGCGCAGTGATGCAGGCAGTTCAGATATGCCAAAGAGAGGCCTAAACTGCTTCCTTTTAGCTGCAGGGGTGTCCGACCTTTTGGTGTCTCTGCACCACGCTGGAAGAAGAAGAGTTGTCTTGGGCCACACATTAAATACATTGTGACACATAATCACAAAAAAAATCTCATAACATTTTAAGTAAAGTTACAATTTTGTGTCGGGCCGCACTCACAGCCGTGGTGGGCTGCATGCAGCCTGTGGGCTGCGGGTTGGACACCCCTGCAGGGTAAAGGTAAATACAGTACAGTAAGATATTTTGAGCGAGACCACATTGACATGACTTTTATTATAGTATGTTGTTATAACTGTTCTATTTTATTATGAGTGATTGTTGCTAGTTATTTACTGTGCCTAATTTATAATTAAATGTTTTCATGGGTACTTATGTATAGGAAACACCATCAAAGTACATATATACATGTATGTATGTATACACACACACACACACGGTTTCGTACTGTCTGTGGTTTCAGGAATCTTTTGAGGGTCTTGAAATATATCCCCCATGGGGGAGCAGGGGACTACTATACTAAAAACACAGTTCAGTACATAAGTTCATTTGGAAACTAAATTAAACTTAAATTATGATAAAATATGTTTTAACAATGCAACAGGTAATTGCTGAAGTCCATAATTATGTTCAGCTAAGACAGGTTTGCTGAATAAGTCACTGTAAATTTATGCCATAGTAAAATTAAGGACTTTCCCTTAATCTGGCCCTTATGTCATATTATTAAGTATTCCTTCTGTTATCAAATATTCAACGGCCTTAAAACAGTGGTTCCCAGACTTTGGCAGCAACAGAATCACCAGGAGAGCTGACTACATACAACATGGATTGCTGGGCCCTGCTCTAAAACTGTGACTCAGCAAGTTTGGGATGGGGCCTAAGAGTGAGCAGGTACCAAACTCCCAAGCCATGGGGATACTGCAGACCAGGGGAACACACTTTGAAGACCATTACCTGATACTATGCAAGTGTTTGGATTTATGACCACAAATGGTGCCCTGAATTTATGACTGTGCATTTGTTTTGGTCCTTTTGAAAGGAGTATTTTGTTGCTGATTTGTGTAGTGGGTTAAGTAGTGTCCACCCAAAACTTCATGTGTGACTTGACTTGGAAATAGGATTTCTGTAGATGCAATTCATTTATGACTTAAGATGAAATAATCCTGGATTTAGGGTGGACCCTGATTCCAAGGAGTGGTGTCGTTACAAAAAGAGGACAGCAAGCAGACAGATACACATAGGGAAGAAGGCCACGTGACGATGGAGGCAGGGACTGGCTGTGATGCTGTCACAAGCCAGGGAACACCAGAGCCACCAGGAGCTGCAACAGGCAAGGAAGGATCCTCCTCTAGAACCTTCAGAGGGAGAAGGACCCTGCTAACACCTCTACCTTTTAGAACTGTGAGAGAATTTGTTTTTTAAGCTACTCAGATTGTGGCACTTTGTTATTGACAACCCAATAAACTAACAGTTTAATTATTCTATGGGAAAGGTAGTGGTTTTGCATAGTGGGCAAAAACCAGATGTTTAAGTCAGCTGGAACTGATTTCAAAATGTTTACAGATGACCTCTCCAAGTCACCCTTTCCTCATCTGTGACATGTCTGGGACTATTTGTGAGGATTTAATAACATAATTCATACACTGTGGCTGGTACTCAGCTAGTGGCCTATGAATAGTGACTACTGTCATAAATGTCCTCATAATTAAATGAGCAGTTGCTTGCGGGAAGTATTTCTCCTTTTTGCCTCTTTCTACATGGCAGGGTGCTTACTATTAGTCGTCGGATAACGGTTGTGAACTGCAAAAATGACCAAAAGGTTTGAAAATAACCACTGAGCGCTGGCACCTGAGGACACTCCAGGGTGCATCCCAAGCACACAGGCCCACGTCCAGAAGAGGCAACTTGCCGGCCCAGTGAGAATGGACTTGACCCAGTGTGGCTTCTAAGAGGCCCCCATAACAACCAGAGGGTCCAGCAGATGCAAAGTCTGCAAAAATGTGTTTGACCACATTAGGGGCCGGTCCTTGGAATAATCACCATAAAAACAACAACAGTAGGAGCCAACCTGTTGTGAGCATGGGCTTATACCACACTCTTGCCTTGCTTTTTCTCTTTATCCTCACAACAGCCTGGCGAGGTGAGCGCATTATCCGGTCCAAGTCAGAGAGGTCACGTAACTGAGAGACCCAAGGTCCCCACTGGAAGTAGCACCGGGGGACCTGAACTCTGGGTCACCTCCTAGGGACTCACGTGGTTCCTAAGGTCGAAGTCTGGAGACCTCTGGGGCAGAAGAGGCGAGCCGGCTGCGCAGAGGGAAACGCTTTGCCATTGGGGGAGAGGAAGTGAACCCCTGATGGGTGTTAACTCAAGATATCTAGGGCCGAAGAAGGTGCCGAGGTCCTTGGACCCAAGGAGGCGAGAGTGCTGAGCGCGGGCTCAGCAAAAACAATCTCAGGCAAAAGGCCTAGGCGACCCGCGGCCCACGATCTGTTAGGCCCTGTCCCGATCAATTCCGGGCTGAGTGTGCCCGGGGCCAGGGGGTCTTTACCTGACTGACTCCGGAGGCCAGGATCGCGACATAGTTCGGGAAAGTTTGTTTCTAGCAGCTGATTCCTCGGAGGTGTTCTGCTGGACGGGCGTGCGCAGAGCGGCAGTGGGCCGGCGGAGGGGAGAGAGGCGGGGCCTACGGCCGGAGGAGGAAGGGAGCGGGGAAGCAGTGGAAGTGGGCGGGGCCTAGTGCTGTCCGCTGAGAATTGGGGTCCAGCGACCCTAAGGGTGGGGCTGGAGGGAAATAAGACCGAGCCTTCCGAGTGCGGCTGTGAGAAGCGGTTTCGGCTCAGCTCCTTGCTCTATCTCGAGAACAACAGGCGTATGAGGAATTCTGAAGTTGACAGTTGTAATAAAGGACAAAAAAAAAGTGTGAAAATGCAGTGCCAGTGAGTTGTGAGGATTCACTGTTGCTAGGAGGTTGAGCTGGTTCAGCTTTTCTGAATAGCCGTCGGCATGCATTTACTGAGCACTTGGTATGTGCAGATGCCACAGCATGTGGAGCTTACTGTCAAATGGCAGGGAGAGAGAGAGAACAGAATAAAAAAATGTTACATCGATAAAGCAGAGTCCTTTAGTCTTTGGGGAGCATCTGACAGAGAAACGTGACCAACTCAGATCAGAGAAGGCTTCCCAGACTGAATGGAAATGGCAGACCTCCAGAGCAGCTGTGCCCCAGGGTAGTTCAGGCCCAGCAGCATCAGCACCACCTGCATGCTGTTAAAATACAGACTCTTGGGTCCCATCCCAGAACCGCTCGATCAGAAACTGGGGGCAAGGCCCAGTGATCTGTGCGTAGGAGATTCTGATGCTCAGAGAGCCACTGCTCTCAGGTGTGTGTGGAAAATAAACAAGAGAAGGACAGGGGCAGGGGAGAGAGTTCAGGAAGAACGGCAAGTTTGCGCCCAGACTCGATGTTGTGCGAAGACCCCAGAGGAGTGGCTCCAGGAGAGCCGGTGAGAGGGCGCCTAGTGGGAGCCCACACGTAAGAAGTCAGATTTCAGAGACCCAAGGCCAGGCGGACTTCTGTATCCCTGCAGGAGGTGCGCTGGCTGGGACCCACAACAATGCTTTAATTTTCATTTCTTTTGAAATCAGGAGAAAATGAATACAATAATAGCCAATATAAAATAATAAATCTAGCCTGGATTACATTCATCTTTATGTCAATACAGTCATAAAATTGAATTCATTTTATTATTATTTTTTGGAGGAAGTGGTTTATAAAACCAAAATTGCCTAGGGCCTGTGGAGTTCTGTGTGTCCCTGGGTTGTGGGACAGTTGAGCCACAGTTCCCAAGACCATCGGAGCCTCGGTGTTCACCTGGAGAGGCTGCCAAAGCTGAGAGAGCCCAGACCAAAAGCTTGATGACACTGTTAATAATAGCAGTCATGTCACCGCACCTACATGTACTTAATCCTCTGAGCAGCACCATGAAGTAGGGTTATTTCCATAGAGGTATTAACATCATCACTTTCCAGATCAGGGAATAAAAAATGATTTGCTTAAGTTCACACAGCTTGGGTTCAAGGTTAGATCACTCTGACCTCTGAGTTCATTTATTTCAACATCACCTCACAGAAGCAACTGACCTATGAATTATATGGCTCTGATTATGAATAAGGAAAAGATAAATTAACCTTTCATCCAATATCCATTGCATAGTTATTATGTGCTAGGCATGTCTAAGATGTGACCTCTTGACCTTTAAGGCCTCTTAGTTTACTGGGAGTGGTAATAAACATGACTCAGCTCTAGTAATGTATAGTGTGTTCTCAGCTCTGCATGGGAAGGGAGGGGAGAGTGGTTCAGAAGATTGGATTGGGGACTGAAAATTATTGTCTAGGGATTTTATTTTCTCTTCTTTTACACATCCTTTGATTGAACCTTTGATTTGAAGATGAGCAGACTGAGGCTCAGAGTAGTCTAGTGCCTTGCCCATGGTCACACAGTGGGTGAATTGTGCAGCCAGGTGTCAGTCCCATCCACTGAGTTGCAGCTGGCACTCCGGTAGGTTTTGAGGGATAGGTGGGATTTTAAGAGGCCAAAGTGGAGGAGATGGCATTCTTAGTAGAGGGAGCAGCAGAAGCTGAGCATGAGTGAAGAGTGTTGTTCAGAGGAGCAGAGAGAGCAGCAGGGCTGGAACAAAGGGGGCATTTGGCAGAGCAGAGCCCTGGAAACAGGTGAAAAGGCATTGGAAGCCACACTAAGATGGAGGTTGACCTTCTTCCTAAAGATAGAGGAATAGTATGTCTGGGTTTTCAGGAAGATCTCTGCAATCACAGTGGGTGGATTGGAAGTAGGGAGAGATTGGAGACAATTGGGGCTCTTCCAAAAATCTGGCTGAAGGAACAAGAAAAAGATGCCTTGAGCCCTCTGAAAAACCCCCAAACTCCCTACATCAGAAAGTCCGAGTTTGGCAGGGGATGGTCTTACTGCAAAAAGCAGGATCGAGATGTCTTGAGTACCAGGGCTATGTGCGCGGCATCTTCTTTCAGGATCAGAAAGACTGCTGTAAAAATACTTAGTTTGTATGGGTTTTGTAAGGCTGGCAGCCAGAGCACAGGGAACATCACAGGTGAAATGCATCATAATAAGATTATAGATACATGGTAGATACATACATGTATATATATATGTATGTATATCTCAAAACCTGCAAAATAACACAGGCTTCAAGGTTAATGGGCAACGTCTTTAGGGAAGATGACTTGTCTCTGTAGCTTTTCTACACAGATTTGTTGGTAGTGGCATAATTCTAGAAAATGCGTGGAAGAGAAGCAAAGCTATAAAAAAAGTTCAGGGCAGCATGCAAAGCCAGCACCTCAATGGGCAGTTCTCTCAAAGAGGCAGCTCCCAGGGGCTAGGGTGGACCTTGTCTTCAGTTCACCCACCTGGGACCTTTATTTGAGCAGCACCTTACAGCCAAGCCTGGGTGCCACAGAGATAAAGAAACTCCGGCTAGTCTTTGAGAGCAAAGAATGTCTGAGGGAAAGACCTACAATGAACAATTAGCTTTACCGCCAGATAAACGCTCTCATCCAGGAAAGGGGCTAAGTGCTCTGGGGAGTGAGGAGCCACAAGCAAGCAATTAATTCTGTCTGGGAGTAGGCAGTGAGGTCTGGATAGGCTGTGGAGAGGTGGTAAGATAATAGGGAATACTTAGCACTTAGCATTATTTTCCTAAGAAATGTGAATTTCCTCCATTCCTTCCTCAATTTGCAGGAGGGTCTCTAAGCAATTAGAGGACAGTCTCAAGGGAGGGCTTTCATATTAAGTATCACATCCATCAGAGTATGATGGTTATAATTGCTGGATTGGGCATTCAACCTCCATCTACAGGATCTGAAACAAATAACGCCCCTTTTTTATTGCAAAATCTTTTATTGCAAAATCATAAGCATGCAATTCTATAAGATAACAATATCATACTCAAGCACACCATATGACATTTTAGGTGAAATGTTCAAATTAAAACTATAAATTATGACACCCATATCATTACCCTACCCACCACACTCAAACAGGCATTACTTCTGCTGGACCTTGTATTACCACCCTCCTCCCCTGCCCCTCTCATGCCAAATCAGAGAGAGCAAAGCAGGATGGGCCTTCACAGCCTTCCTACCTTTTAAGGAGAGGGAGTTGAGGGAGTTCTTTGAGGACTAGGTTTAAACAGGAATTTCTCTTTGAATGAGCCAGTGTCCTCAGCATCAAAATCATCTTGGGGGATACAGGGAGAATGCAGCTCCCCAAATCCCCCCCCCCCCAGGTACTTACCTCAGGGTAAAATTCACCCAGGAACATGATTTTCTGAGCAGGCATCTAGGTGATTCTGTTGTAAAGGTTAAAGACACTGGTTTAAGTGCTCCAGAGAGAGACACTGAATGTTGAGGACATAAGCCACCTCCTTGCCCCAGAGGAAAGGGTGGATGGTGGCCACCGCACCAGGAGGTACCCTTCCTGCTAGCATTGGTAAAATCTTTCTTTCTGGTCTTGGGAGTTGGCAACTTGGGCAGGCCCATCTCAGGAGAGACTCCAGGGAAGGTGAGTGGGTTGTTTTGTGGAAAATAGGCGGGAGTGGACAGATCCCTCCATAATGTGGTCTCTGCTGTTTTTGTTGTTGTTGTTGTTGTTGTTGTTGTTTTTAAAGACCATTTAAAAAGGGAAAGAACTTGTGAGTTTGGTTCTGCACATTCTCTCATTGATGCCCGTTGTTGATTAGGCACGGAGCTGGGTGTCGGAGGTCTAGAGACACATGACAGTTTGTTCCAGCTCTTAAGAGATTTGGAGTCGCATGCAGTGGTGAGTGACTTCAGTCTGCACAAGCACCCCCTGGGGGCTGGTTACACATGCAGGTTCTTGGGCTGCAGCCTCAGGGATGTTGATGCGGTGGGGCCCAAGCATCTGCATTTGCAACCAGACCCTTGGGTGATTCTGGTATGTCTGAGTTTTGAAGGGGGACAAATGGAACTCAAATCTGAAAAAATAAAATGAAAGACTGGAAATCCGCCAGGCCCAGGAAATCTACATAGTCGCATTAGCCAAGAAGTCAGGGGCCTGAGACAGACCCTCATTTCTGGAAGCAAGCGTAGACTGGGAACAAAAGGTTAGACACAGATGACAGGAAAACGCTTCTAGAGCCGCCCTGGAATACAAAAAATGGAAATTGCTGGGAATTTACATCTGGGCTCTGCCAAAGTGATTTTTCAAAGTAATTCATGGTGTTTTTCATCCGCATTTAATTTTTATTGTGTAACAATAAAATAGATATATGCTTGTATATTAAGATGTCTTAAATCTCTTGAGTTTCCATGAGCCAGGCCCGCCAAAAACGGATAAAAACCAGTGGGCGGGCATCGTTCACACATTTCATACCATTGTTTGTCCTCATTTCCGTGCACCTTTAGAAATGAGCTAAAGATGAGTTACATTTAATTCCTTTACTGCCGTGGAATCTCTGTGTAATGGAACAATCAACTAGGTTTAATTACCAATAACAACTGTGCTGGGAAATCTGTAATCTAAATGAGGGCTCGGCCTAGGATGTAGCTAATGACGTAACTGTGCTGTACAATGAGGCACAGTCTGGTCTCAATTAGCTTGTGAATTAGTTGTGAAATTGGC